TGAGTTGAGAATCTGAGCAGGCGTCAACTTTCCTTGCCCCGGCTGCCTTGCACATGCGGATACCGGCTAGCAGGGCCTTGTATTCAGCTTCATTATTCGAAGCTTGAAACTTGAATCGTAGAGCATACTCGTATTTGTCCCCCTCTGGAGAATGACAAATTACGCCTGCCCCACAACCATTCAACGTAGAGCTCCCGTCTACATAAACCTTCCAAACTTGATCAGTTTTATCCGGCTGTATCAGCCTTGTCCTTTCAACAATGAAGTCGGCAAACGCCTGACCCTTCACTGCCCGCCTAGGTTCGAAAGTGATTTCTAAGCTTTGAATTTCCACAGCCCATTTAATTATTCTTCCGGATGACTCTAACGTGGTCATAGGCCTTTTGAGCGGCTGGTCGGTGTAGACGGTCACCGGATGAGCCAAGAAATATGGTTTCAACCGTTTGACTGCCTTGAATAGTGCGAGACCAAATTTTTCAATCATGGGATAGCAAAGCTCAGCATTCCGGAGGACGTGGCTTATAAAGTAGACCGGGAGCTGGTTGTCGTCTCTCTCAGCTAGGAGGACATCACTCAAGGAATGATCTGAGACGGCCAAGTACATGTAGAGAGCCTCCTGGGGTAGTGGACTCACTAATCTTGGCAAAGAATGCAGGTGTTGCTTCAGCCTTTGAAATGCCGCCTCAGCCTCTTCACCCCATTCAAACCTCGACCTCTTTTTGATTGCTTGAAAGAAATACAGGCACTTGTCACCTGACCGGCTGAGGAATCTCCCCAATGCCGCCAGGCAACCGGTAAGCTTTTGAGCCTCCCTGACGGTACGAGGCGACTACATGTCAATCATCGCCTGCACTTTGTCCGGATTGGCCTCTATGCCTCTCTGATCAATAAAAAATCCAAGAAACTTCCCAGACTCAACTCCAAAGACGCATTTTTTTCGGATTTAACATGACTTTATGTCGCCTGAGGGTGGTGAAGGTTTCTCGGAGGTCGGCTAGATGATCCGCCTACAGCTTTGACTTAACAATCATGTCATCAATGTACGCTTCCACGTTCCTTCCAATCTGATCATAAAATACCGAGTTCATCATTCGTTGGAAAGTAGCAGGCGCATTCTTCAACCCAAACGGCATCACCGTGTAGCAATATAGCCCTTGATCTGTGACGAAAGCCGTCTTCTCTTGGTCTTTCTTCCACAAGGGTATCTGATGGAAGCCGGAGTAGGCATCCATGAAACTCATCAGAGCGTGGCCGGCTGTAGAGTCTACCAAATGATCTATCTTTGGAAGTGGGTAGCTATCTTTTGGACAAGCTCTGTTCAGGTCCGTGTAATCTACGCACATCCGCCAGGTTCCATTCGGCTTTTTCACAAGGACGACATTGGCTACCCAATCCGGTAGTAACATTGCCGGAAGAACCCAGCATCTAAGAGTTTCTTGACCTCGGTTGCTGCCGCCTGGGACCTTTCCTCGCCATGGTTTCTTTTCTTTTGCCTGACCGGCTTCTTTTTAGGATCCACAGCGAGTTTATGAACAGCAAGATCCGGACTCACACCCGGCATCTCTTCTACTTCAAAGGAAAACACATCTTTGAACTCCTTCAGCAAAAGGAGCAAATCTGATCCCAAGCTTTCAAAAGCAACCGTTCCAATATTGACGGTTCTGTCTGGTCGGCTGTCTTCAAGGACAATGTCAATTATTTCTCCAGCCGGCTGGGGGCGAAGGACGTCTGGCCTCTCCCCGGACAGTGATTGCTATTGTTTTTCTTTTACAGGCGCCAGTTGGTCCGCCTTCCTCTTTTTACCGGCTGGCTTAGCAGCCGGTAAGCTTTGATCACAGTCGTCAGGTTCAACTATTTCTTTCTCTTGACCGTCTGTGTCAAGCGTTGGTTTGATGTCCGAGAGGTAACACTCTCTCGCCATCTTTTGGTCCCCACTCAAGGAACCGACTGTGCCATCATCCCTTTCAAACTTAATCAACATTAGAGATGGGATGATGACTGCCTTTGAGATGTTAAGGGTTGGGCGGCCAATAATCAAGTTGTAGGCAGTCAGCTCTCCTACAACAAGAAACTTGACAACCATGTGCCGGCCCATTCCCTTTTCTCCGAACCGGATGGGTAGATCAATCATGCCCACCGGATGTACTACTCCTCCCCCAAAACCTACAAGAGGATATGAGGCCGGATGCATGCTACTGGGCTTATACTTGAGTTTTTCCAAGCACCGGTAGCTGATGAGGTCGGATGAGCTCCTGGTATCAATCAAGATCCGGCCAACTCTTTGATTGGCGATTTTGCACTCGATGACTATTGGGTCATCATGAGGCCGCCTGACCTCCCCTCTATCTTTTTCGGAGATGTTTACTTCCGGAAATGAATATTCGGACGACTGGCCCTCATCCACTGAGTTGACCAGTTTCTGAATGTTATCTTTTGTGCCCCGGATGGTAGGCCCACCTCCTGCAAATCCACCGGCTATGGTCAGGATGGTTTCCTCATCCGTATCCGATTGAGTAGCCGGCTTCTTTGGGGGTGGTCCTTTTGTTTGTTTGGGAGCACCCTTTGACTTGGAAAGATATGATTTGAGAGCCCCCTCATCAGCCAGCCGGTCAAAGAGCCGCCTGAGGCTAAAGCAACCCTCAGTGTCATGGCCAATTTCCTCATGAAAAGGGAAAAATTTGCTCTTATCCCGGGCGCTTAAGGGACTCTTCATAGGAGCCGGTTTTTCAAGATTCAACCGGTCTTTTACTTCGTTGAGAATGGAGGCACAGTCCTTGTTGAACTCGTACTTTGGCACATACGGATCCGACCTCTTCCTTTTTTAGAAAGGTTGTCCGGATGAGTCTGCCGCCCATACCCCCTTTCTCTTGTCTTCCTTTTTGGCCGACTGGGTAGGCCGATTCTCTTTTTTATCGGATCTTTTGTAATCCGTTGGAAGTTTCACAGCACACAATTCCATTGCCTGAATGTAGGCCTCCGCCTTCATGAGCGCCTCGTGAAGAGTGGAGACCCTCTTCCTAACCAAGTCAAACTTAAAAGTTGATCCGTCTTTTAAGCCTTTGAAGAAATCAGTATAGGCAACGTCATCAGACAATCCATGGATTTGGATCCTCATCAGGTTAAACCGCCTGACATATGACCGGAGCCCCTCTTTGTCTCCCTGCTGGATTGCCCCTAGATCAAGGCTTGTTTTCTTGGTAGGGATGTTTATAGAAAAGTTGGATGTAAACCAGTAGGCCAAGGTCCTGAAATTATTGATGCATCCGGCTGGGAGGTTACCAAACCAATGTAGAGCAATCCCTTTCAACGTTGCCGGGAAGCACCGGCACCATGAGGCGTCATCCAAACCCTGCAAATACATCAGGTTGGTGTATGCCATGAGGTGATGTTCCAGGTTGGTGGTACCGTCATAGGCGCCTACCAACACGTTTTTGATTTTAGCCGGCTGGGTCATCTCGGTGATTTCCCTGGAAAACGTCGTTGGCTGTTCCCCAAGGTTGAGCAGCCGGAGCTGCCAGTCCATAGGCTGGACGGGCGGCTGATGCTGTCCCCTAAAAAGACCCGCCTGTGCATAGGGGGATCCAAAGGGCGTGTATGGTGTTCCATGCAATGCAGGTTGGATCATATGAGGGTCGGATCGAGCGGAAACCTCGCTCGTCCGGCTGTCATTGTTTGTTCTCGAGTGCCTCCCTGATGTGGCATTGAAGCTGTCTCGAAAGGTTGACGTTGATGCTGACTCGGAGCGCTGCTGAGTCTTTTTATCTTGAATTAGCGTCCGGGCATCAGAATAGACTTTCTTTGTTCCATCCGGCTGAATGTGCCGGACGGGCTTTCTGACTCCATCTATGGGAGTGTGTATCTTTGAGAAATCAAAGGGCCTAGCCAGCATATTTGACTTCGGATGCGGGGTAGATGCTCTACCCTTGACTGTTTTGGCAGTCTTTTTACCGAGACGCCTTTCTTCTGCCTGACCCTTACGGGGGCCGGCAGTATTGTCCAGAAGGCCTTTGATCTCTCCCTTGAAGCTCATCATCATGTTCATGAGTTCATCTCTGGAGACTGGGGTGGCTCCCTCTGAAGCAGGAGTCAACCCAAGCGGTCCCCTGGCGGGATGATTTGGGCTTGCCTGCTGCTCTGCTCGTTCCCTCTTGTCTTTGGAACGAGTATGCTTGGTTCTGAAGGAACCATCGGCTGCTGTGTAAGTTTCAATCTCATGATTGTCGGCTGTGTCTTGGTCCGAGTGGACCTCAACCTCACCAGCAGGTTGACCACTTTTACCCGGCTGTACCGGTTTTGAAGTCATCTAGAAAGTACTCTCCCCACAGACGGCGCCAAATGTTTGGGGGTTTTTTATGTGTCCTACGGGAGAGTTACAATTTCCTAGTATGCTCCTTCCTTCGCCTGTACCTGCACAAACAACGGAATACTCCGGCTGGGGCTGGGGAGTTCCGCCTCCGAAGATTAAGTTAGTCTCTTTCTAAATGAGAAAATAAGACAATAAATGCTTCTCGATTTGAGAGCGTTTGCAAGGGGATTTGTGTTTTGTTGGTTGGTGGAAAATGTTTCGATCCCCATAAATGAGGTCTGCCCTTACTATTTATAGTAGGGAGAACTGTACCTCAATTAGGGTACAATGACACGTGTCGCAAAGGGATTGGGCCTCTGCTGACCGTTGCAAGCTTGACACGTGGCATGCCTTTATTGGGCCACGTGTCTTAGGGTATTTTTACCCTAAACACTCAGTTTACCTGTTTCGTGGCTTTGATACAAAAGAAAGAAAGTCAACAAAAAGGTAATGGGGCTTTTACTGTAAATGAAGTGCAACATTAGTACTTGTGAGTTAATTTGTGGTCATTACAACTTCATATCGTTTCTTAATTCCACTATTTAAACAAAATTTTCTCATGGCCTATTTGGTAAAAAGAAAACAAGTATATTTCCTTCGTCCTCACTCCTCAAATTATTTTCCTATTAGGTTTGGAGTTTGGACACTCATATCTATGAATTTAGTAGGGCAGGGTAGATAATTTGGTAGATAGTAGGGAACTAAGGATAAATAATTTGATTATAGTGCCCATAGTGGACAAGAGGACCCTCATGACATAGAATATGAAGAAAGAGTGTAAGAGAAAGTGTTAATGGAGGGGTCTACATCACATGGATTGATTGGGTGATAATTCAAGTAATAGGAAGATATTGTGTAAACATCCCAAGAGGAATACGTGATGGTTATGTGTGTATGGAGGTTTGCTAGTTGGTACAACTAAAGATGGGTACAACTTTGACCAGGCAAATATTTGAGGCATGTGCTCCGTTGGCATTTGACTATTTATATTTTTTCTATTTGGTCACTGACCTGGCAAATCAAGCTATGCTTAATGAAGCCATTGAGGATTGTCTAAATAGTTCATCTCAAAGCAGAAAGTGGCTTGAATTGATAGAACTCTAGGCATGGCAACTATCAGTGCATTCTAATTTTTTCCCTATTATAGCTGACAAAGTAAAAGTACAATTCTGATTATGTATCTAGAGTTTCAAATGTGAGCTTGAATAATTGAACCTGCTTCATGTATGGCCTTATGGGTTTGGGAGTTTTAAAGTGGCTTGAGCCTTGGGGTGAAGAGGACCGTGCACCTGCCATGTGCTGCCCTATATCTTTTCATTACTGTCTGTTTTGGATCTAGTTTATGTTGAAGAAGCTAGTCTTGAGAGTTTGCTCATAAGCTGGCGTACTGGCGACTTATGGATAGAGGTGCTTGTAACTGGCGAATGATTATGGAAGATAACTTTCTAGACGTGATTAACTCCTTATGTACTTATTCTATGTGGTTGGAAGTCATGTCTGTTATAGTCATTATCTGACAAAAAAATAATATAGTTAATCCTTGAAAACATTTATACCTCAAGTTTTATTATGTAAATGAGCTTGAAATGGTCTATTATAGTCATTATCTGACAAAGTATGGGCTCCTATGGTGGATTACTATGTCTAACTTTAGAACTGAAATGGTGGTTTTTCATTCACGTATGCTTCTTATTTCACTTGGTCTGACTTCTTACTTTCTGTCTCCACTTTAGGTGAGGAGATAATATCAGGAGCTCAGCGTATTCATGAACCTGAACTTTTGACAAAGCGCGCTAAAGCATGTGGCATCGATGTCAAGACCATAGCTACTCATCTCGACTCCTTCAAGTAAGTTTGTTTTTCTGGTTGAATATGGATTTTGTCTTTTAATTTAAATGCTTGATTTTTGATGACTATAACTCTAATTCTATGGATGCTTGAATTGTTGGGAGATTATGATTTATTTAATTATCAATGTCAGATTTTGTAGTTGGATTATCTATGGAGGGGCTAAGGCTTCGTTTATTTTGATGGAAGTATTTTCCTAGAAAATGTTTTATTCTCGTAAACAAACAAATAAAGGCAAACAATATTTACAATTGTATTTTTTTTTAAAATCGGTGTCTGACAATGTTTTCCATTAAAATAAGTGGAGCCTAAATTGCCTTGCTCTTTTACCTAGGGTGATGGATTGTGGACACTTGGGTGGAGTTTAGGTTAAATTGTTGATGGCATCAAGATTTGATGGCATACGTGCTTCATGAAGTGATGAACCTAGATTTTAGATCAGTATTGACAACCATTGGCGATTTGTCGGAATTCTATGGGCGTAACGATAAATGATAAGGTTTATGAGGTGTCGCCTGGCATGAAAAGTGCATGATGCGGAGCATGTTAATAAACTGTTGATGACAACTTGGAGTGGAGTGTTTGAGACGTATAAACAAGGGTTTACCAAGGCTCTTTTCTAGGCATCTTTAATTAACAATTTGACCTGGACAGGTTTATTCTTATATTGAAAGGTTGTATGTTAGTGTGTACAAGCTGCACTCAGTATTTCTGGAGGCTGTAAATAAATTTTGTATGGTTTCTAATATTGCAAAAAGGTAACAGTGGAGGCCCGATATTCACTTTTGTCTATCTAGAATAAGGGCTGGAGGCGATTGGTGGAGCTTTCTAGAAGGATGGGTGGCGTTATATTATTGGGATATGACTGAAAGAAGATTGTTGCTTTCAAAACTTGAATTATCTGGTTAAGTCACCATGGAGGTGGACTTTGAAATGTTGCTTAGCCAAGTGGACAGTACATAACATCTCCTTGTTATTAGCCATAACATAGCTATCTTCTACTTCCCATGTGCTATTTTTCTTCCCTAAACTTCCTAGACTGCAAGTGGCCTAGCCTTTCCAAAACCATTATGAGTCAACTACTGTGGTGGGAATATTGTTATGTTGTTGCCTTTGGTTTTTATTCAATTGCCTTAATGCACTGTTATTAGCATTTTCTGAACCATCATACATATTTAACACTTGCATGTCTAGGAAGTGTATTAATTTCACACAACTAATAAAATTTTCTGTTCAGGTATGGTGCTTGGCCTCATGGAGGTTTTGGTGTGGGTTTGGAGTGTGTTGTTATGCTCTTCTGCAACCTGATCAACATTCGGAAAACCTCATTGTTCCCTTGTGATCCTCAAAGGCTTGCACCTTGATTTTGCTGGCTTGGCTTAAAAATTGTGATTACATTCCAAGATCGAGATCTTGAAAACAGGTAATCTAGAGTAATTAGGTCAGAAATTGGTCATATAAAATCTCATGTAATCCTTGCTGAATTACATATGACGAGTTATTTTTTTTGAATGAAGTCTCTACTACATATTTGACTGTGTTGCATGCTTAATACTACGAAGTATGAAGTAATTTTCTTTTCCCAGTTGTCAACATGAAAGTGCAGGTTATTTCCCTTATATACTGTTTTTCTGAGGTGGCTTCATTCCCAATTTATCTTTGAATGCATAAGCAAAATCTTTTCACCCTTCATTAAACAAGTGCTTGTTTATGGAGGCAGTATGAAGTTTAAGTTAGGGTATGAAAGTCATTAACATTGTCGTTGCAAGTATTTATTTATCGTCAAATAAAAATTCAGAAATTTAATCTTTTCTTTATTTATATATTAATAAAATCTAAAGAATATTGACATATGAATTCCGTTAAGAAAGCAAAGAAAAAAGATATTGATAGATTTATCGTAGGAATATATTTAGTGATAGAATATAGGATTAATAATCTAGATATTCTGTTATAGTAGGATATATTTTGTATATATTATGTAATTATCTTTTGAGATTTCCTAAAGAGATTAAGTTTCATACGTGTAACCCTATATATTGAATCAATGGAATACATTCCAATCTGAGGAGTTTCATACAATCTAACATGGTATCAGAGCTTAGGTTTTGGATCCAACCTCAGCTTCCGCAAATTAAATTTTTTTTCCTTTCTTTTCCCAAGCCCTAGCTGCCACCCTTTTTAGTTTGTTTATGACGTAATTAAATAAATAAAAGATATTGATATATTTTAAGGCCATATTATCTGATCTAGAACTTACGAAGAGGAGAAAATCAGAAATAGAAGATTTAAGGGATGAGACCTTAATGGAGATTCTTGTGTGATTACTAGTGAAATCAGGGCATTAATGTAAGCTGGTCTCGAAACGTTGGCTCGGCTTGATTTCAAGTAAAAGCTTTGCCCTTCGCCATCGAATACGACATGTGAATCATACAATTGATGTTAAACATAATCATATACAACTTGTCAACTATTTGATCAATAAATGCTCCTTCTAATCCTTCTCCGCTGATTCGAGAGGTCCACGCGTTACCTAAGAACCAGAACCAGAACCAGCCCTTAGTATCCTTAGATTTCCTCAATCAACAATGGCCTATGAACTTGGTGCTATTGGTTTCTAATGATTTACTCGACAGTTGTCGAATCTTGGTGTTGGTGTAAACAATAACTCCGTTCCTTCCTTATATCTACGCGCATCGAACCCCTTAACGAAGCAATCTTATAGGCTCCCCCAACCTCCGCCTTGTTTCTTTGATGATCATCAAAGAAATCCTCTTATTGACTTCACAAGCATCATATTAACGATCCCACCCAATACAAAGTGGTGCTTGTAAAGAACTCGCAACGCCTATATAGGTGTGGATGCAACACTGTTAGAAGCAGTGAGATTTTGAATATCTACGTCCTTCGGATACCGGCGGTTGGTGTAATTTTGTTGTGCCTAGTCCACTAAACTTTTTGGCGGTGCCAAAAATAAATGAAGCGGATGGTCATGCAACCACTTTGGATGGGGCGCTTTATTGGTGCACCAACATGATCATGGTATATAATTCATTCGACAAAGACAATAACCCCGACTTTATTGATCTTCCTGATGAAGCAAAAATCGATGAGATGTACGTTGATCAACGAAGTTTATGCATAGCAAATGTTGAACAACACCTGCGGCTTTATCATTAACGTTACGTCACTGCCTCTACTCAAACAATCACCGTGTGGGATATGAAGGACTACTTGAATGGCCATGATAATTGGAATATAAAGCATTTTGTGGATCTTACAAGTATTAATTGGCTTAGTGCTGATGTGCGCATGTCTATCAAAGGTTTTGATCCTTATGACGGAGACGTGTTGTACGTTTATTCTAAAGATAATCGTCTAATGGCTGTGAATCTAAGAAGCAAGACGGTGCAATTAGTCTTGGATTTCAACTCCTCCGTATTTTCTTTGATCCCATCCTTCAGATTGTTTCCTTATTGTCCACCTCTCTGGCCAACTCCCATCACCCATCAACAACACAACGGCTGCTACTGATGATCATCAAGATACTTGACTTTGGTTAAGTACTACCTCCGTTTCATATTATGTGCAACACAATTGGGTATTACATTCAATTGTTGCAAATAATGTGAAACAACATGGACCAAAGGTATAAAAATCACTTAATGAAATACTTTCTCTGTTTCTTCGAATTCCAATCGTTACTTTTCTGATTACGCAACCGATTTGAGAAAATTGAACATATTAATGTTACATAACAAAATTATAATGAATTGAACTTTAGCCCTCATTTACTAAATAACTACGAGTACTAAGCTAGAATCAATGTGAGAGTTAAAGTGCAAAAATCAAACTACCTTACAGCTCCATGCCTTTTAGGTATTGTACAAATCTATAAATTCCTTAAATTTAATGAACAAAAATATAACAGATATGTAGATGATTTTCATTATAGAGGATTAAATGTGATCCATCTTTGAAACATTGCTAAACATTCTCGTGGCTTATATTCAGGGGCAACATGTCCTGCTCCCTACAAATTAACAATTTGTCTAATATTAATTGGTGCAAAATTGTACGAAGTAATCAATAATCATAACAAAAAAAAAAAAAATTGAGTGAAGTTCTATACCTTGATTTTAGTAAATGTCAAATTATAGATGTCATTTGAATACTCTGTGACATATCTGTATGAAACGAGAAATTCTCAGACTAAATTGGTTTGTAGGGATTTACCATTTGTCGAAATATTTACTCGCAACACAAATTCACAATATTTCTCAGACACCTTCATCATGATGGAAGTGTGAAACTCAAACATGGCTTCTATGGTGAAGTTATACGAACAAATAAAGAGAGAAAGTGTAGGAAGTTTACCCTGCAACTTGACCGTAAAGAAACCAATGACTCCAATAAACATCATTTGGAACGACATTTAGCTTCTTCATCCATTTCAACGTGAACATATATGGCATGCATATATCCTGGTCACCACTGTTCGTTAACATGTTAAACAAAGAATATAGCTCAAAAAGGGCGTTTTTTTTTTAACAAAGAGGACGAATCTAATATTATTAACCATGAATGAAACTCATAATCTATATAAAAGTCATAAATTACCTGAAGATTAGTGCCCTGAGAGGGTGCATGGAAAGATTTTGATGAAAACTGATGCTACTATCGATATCGTGAGTGTAGTTAACTCATCATTGTTGTGACCACGACAACGAATCCATTGGTTAATCGTTCCCTAAATACATTCTCAAGATTATTAGACTGCAACATGCTACACGATAACATCAAATAGCTAATACTAAAGTGGTTATTTTGAGGATCGATTTACTTACCTCTCGAACATGAGGAGCTTTTTGGACATTAATGTTATTTGCCCACAATTTAGACATGCGATCATGATAGTATTGTTGTATGTACCACCGAATAGTAATAAAAATAAATTTGATGTCACTATTATTATAGAATCAACCTTATATTATATGTCTCTCAACTTTGAAGAAAGAATAAAAGTGAGAAACAAAGCAATACCCGACACCACTTATCTGGTGATGGATGGAAGCATTTCGATTCAAGGACAAATTCATTTTCTATTGGATCAATGCACTGCATAGGCCAATAGTTAGACTTAGATCTACATATTTGTACATGATATCTATTAAGTTTTTATTTCAGAACTATGTGAGTTAGATTTATGTTTGCAAAAGAATATACTTTAAAGATAAACTCACCTTTGATGCAGTTTCAAGATTCTTCTTGCATTGTGCATTACCTTTTGCAGCAATTGGTCGATAATCACCATGGCATCTTCCTTTGGCCGACTAACAATTGTAATATACATGATGATCCATTAGCAAAAAATTAATTAAAAAAATCACTTCAACAAATTAATTATTTAAAAGAGAATTACATGCATAATGTCTTATTTAAAGAGTATTTATTTTTAAACTTTGATGCGCTGTACTAGACATTAAACCATTGTCCTTGGAAGATTTCCTTGTAAATATTTATGGACAAACAATCAATGTATTGCACAAACATTTGGCACAAAAAAATGTGTTTCAATGTTATTAGTGACACAAACATGCTGAAAGTAAAGTGACAATATACTAACCTCATATATCTTATCGGATAGTACGGATACACGGTGAGCATATTCAACTTTCGTTTGGTCTTCAAGGTACTTAGTAGTCACCGGATTCCCGAGAACATATCCCTGGATGCAAACGTGCGTTTTATTTGAAGAGAGAGTTTGCAAGACAAATGAAATTTTAAAATTGACAAATAATACCCTTGGTGTGTACTGTATAAAATAATTTACATGGCGTGTTATCATTGTTTGTATAATTATTTTATATTATTATTGTATGATTTGCTATTTATATGCTTGAGTTTATATATACGATTAATGTATATAATTTTATGATTTGATCTGATCTAATTGTCTTGTTATTATTGTTGTGTATGATTGATCGTATCATTATAACAATATGCTAGGGTTCTTAATGTTGTAATTCTAGGGAGTATTGTTATATTGAGGTTTTAGGGTTACTCATATTGTTTTTGGGTTGTGAGTTAATTATATTTGGGTATTAGTTTTATTTTCCTATATAAGAGTTGAGATATACTACGATTGAATCGAGTTTGAATGGTTATGTTATCTGGGAACCCGTGCCATTATTGAGATATTGTTTATGAATCTGTAAATGATTATTTGATCAAGTATGAGATCAAAAGGGTTGAGAATTATTATTTTGTTCTTGGTTCGAGGCTCGATGTTAATTACCTTAGTCCTTGGCATGTTGGTAAGGAGATAATGATCATGAGTTAAAAATGAGGTACAATCTTTATTTATACTTTTCTATGGTCCCCTACAGTGGAATTTTGACCCATATTGGTCATGGTTTGAAGTGTTTTCTGATTATTGAGAGTAAGTTTTTATACTTGTTGGTTTATTTATTCGAATTGCCCATGTCCAAGGCTAGGTATTGAACACTTATTGGTTAGATGAGTTAAATGAGTAAATGATCGTATTATTACTCGAGGTTGGGTTTGACAAAGGTTATTTCCAGAGTACAAGGTGTAATGTAGTGTTTTGAACTATATTATTTAATTGAGCTCGTAATGTTAATTATTTTATTATTATTTGTATTCTGATATGTGGTGATTACTCAGCTTTTTGCTGACATGTATGTTTGTTTGTTGTGCTACTTGTGTTTGCGACCATGTTTTTTTCTTATGGTGGCCCTGCGACGATCTATTTTGAAATTTGTCCTTAATTTTCCTTAATGACGTAGCTAAAGGAGCTCAAGTGTTTCGATTAGTATTTTATAACAAGTTTGTAAAGTTGTATAAATAGCTCACCTAGTTTATTGGGTTGTAATTATTGGGATTTTGTAAGTCTTAGCACTTAACAAGCTGTTGAGTGTGGCGGTAATACCTCCGATTCAGGTATATGCTTCGGCAGTTTTTATTCAAAGGTTGTTTATTTTTCCTTTATTTATTATTTATTATTAGCTAGTAAATTGGGGTGTTATAGCGGGTCAAGTAAAAAAGAACGGAGAAAATAAGTCAAAACTCAAAAGTGTAATTACAAATTTCCTTTTTACTCTAATCAAAATTTCCTACAGCCCTTCTCAAACCATATTTACTCACAAACTTTGAAGGCTGGAGAGTAGCAATACAGTGAAACAGTAAACCTTAAGAGGCCAAATGCAGCAGAATAAAGTATCTTAGATCAAATCAAGCAACTGCTGAACCTCAATATTACAAATTCACAATTGTCCATGATCTGAAACGAGGAGAAACGATATCTATTTATAAGGAAAAAAAGACTCAAAACGATCAGAAAAGACTCAAAACGGGGCGATAGACCTATCGCGGCGCGATGGAGTTGTCACGGTGCGATGGTCCTGTAGTTTTGTGGTTTTTGTTTTTATCATAACTTTTGATCCAGAAATTGAAATAAGATAACTAATATATCGTTGGAAAGCTCTAGAAGTCTACATTCCAATCCAATTAGAATCAAATTGATATCTTTTATAGAATTTGAGATATGATCGAAATAGTGAAACAATGTCAGTTTTGGATAGAGATTAGTATTTTAATCATATCTTTTTCGTTTCTAATCAGAACTGGGATTATGATACAACATTGAAAATATAATTTCAAGAGCTATCCTAAAATTCAAGATTTGCATAAAAATTATGAGGCACGAAACTCAGAATGGCTCGGTTTACAAGTACCCAACAAGTTTTGGGCTCGGTTTATTATTTTGGCCATAATTTATTCGTTTTAAGTCGGATTTGGGGCTTTAATATATCATTGGAAAACTCTTTTCAACCCCATCCAACCAAGAAATAATTGGACTGAGATTATGGACCAAAATAATCTGGTTTGGACGTTTTTATGATTTGAGCACGAAATGAATGATTTTAAGGACACGAAATGAATGATTTTGGGTTTAAGGGCATGAAATGAATGATTTTGGATTAAAATTTTTTAGGAAAGGTTAGGGATACGGTCAAGGATTAAGAAAACTTCACAAGACTCTTCAACTCTTTACCGAACTCGTTAATCAAAGATGTGAAAGGTACTCATCACTAGGTTTGATTTTTGGGGAAACACAATCAGGTGTCTACACTACCGTCTTGAAGCCTTGGATGGTCGTCCTATTCCATGTACGTGGAATATAGACAATCTCAAAAAATATTATATATAAAGTTTTTGTACTTAGCCTTAAATTTGTATACTCCCTCCGTCCCAAATTACTCGCAATGTTTTGACTTTTTGCACTATTCACACATCTCACTTTGACCATCTTCTTCAGCTATTATATGAAAGCTAATGTAATCAAGTAAGATGTTGTTGGGTCTATTTTAATGTATAGTTTCTTAATATAATTTTTTTATAGCTTATATAAGTATATAATAAAGATATTGACGGTCAAACATGTGCATCGGCAGGCGTGTCCAGTCAAAATGTTGCAAGTAAACTAGGACAGAGGGAGTATACAACTAGGTCTAACGACCGAGCAATGTAATTAAAGTCGTATGGCCAAAAACAATGTAATCTTTACGAAATTAATGAAAAAGTCAAAATTGTTATTAAATTCTTCGCATATACATTATGTACATCTAACTAATATCAAGCAGAAATGCCACAAAAGGAAACAAAGATTGCTTACAACATAGCAGCTCGACCTCTAAAAAGGGCAGGGTTGAATGGCCGGGAAAAATGCCTAACAAAGGTTCCTCCTAGCAAAGCAACTCGGCCGCAATGATCAGGTTGCTATAAAATCCATCCGGACATGAACCTGGTCGGACGGATAAAAAATAAGGTAGCCCAAAATGTGCCTAAGGCCTCTTAATCCTAAGGGCAGGAGCATACCTAGGCTACCAAACCCTACAAATACTTAGAAATTCTTAGGATGAGATCATACATGAAATTTCATGAGTATGTCCGGGAGATAGTATCAAACGAGGACTCGACAAAAGCCAATTAAAGGGCCACATACTCAAATTCATTCGTCATTTACCTAGTCCAAGGGCAATCATTTTTACGATTTGATTAACTTATTAGTTGCCATACCCTTCAAGGTATGAAATCTACTAAGTTAATCAAACCTCTTTGAATATGGACTAGACAAAATGTCGAATAAAGGGTCATACCCCCAGTACATAACCATTCATACGCAAAAATGCATAATAAAGGCATGGAAAGAAGCTTAAAATATGCTAAGTATGAATGTAGAGAAAAGAAAACTTGTATGTATATATATATATATAAAAGCCGCTCAACCAGACGGCAATAAAAAAAAATAAAAAAAAAGGTATAATGCAAGACCGCTCATACAGGCGGCAAAAACTGATATTGTTCAAAACAAGGAAATAAAAACTAAGTACAAAAAGCTTAGAAACTGTTGTAGGGGACCAGAGCTCCTCACTCAGCCGGCGCCTCATCATTATTGGCATTGGCGGCCTCATCCGTCTTGGTCGGCTCCTCTTCCTTGAACGGATTTTTTATCTTCTCCTCCCCATCACCTTAAGCATCATCTTCATCGTCGCTTTGAGAAGGAGAAGGAGTTTCGACGAACTCGGGAGGGGGTACTCTGATGGACTCGAACTCCTCCTTGAGAAAGACATGGTCAAGCTGGAGGAAAAAGCGTTCTTGATAGTAATCCACCTCACAGGTGTCAAACATCATGGAAAACGCCTCATAGAAGTGGCTCTTTAGTCTCTCTTCAGCCTTGTGCTCGAGATGGACAGCCTCCTTAGGGTTAACTGGCCCGGGCACCTTAAGCTGCTCAGTTAAGTCCGCAATGGACTTGTTAAGGCGCTTAACCTCAAGTTTAAAGGAGTCCACTTCATTCAAGGCCGCTTGCAGAGCCTAACGACTGGAGTCCAGCTCGGTCCTTAGCTTCTCAGAGGCTTCAAAGCCCTCTTTCCACTGAGAAGCATTAGTGACCGCCTCGTCCCTCTCCTATTGCATAGTCTCCCAAGCCAGCCGCTCCTGCTGAAGAGTATCGCCCATCTTGACGATGTGCTCGGTCTGTTGGGCTGACTTCTCAAACAATGCGTTCAAGGCCGCCTTATGCCGGATCTCCTACATGGCAAGAGTTTCGGTATTTTCATCAGATATCTTTTTTTATCTCGTCCCAGGCCGCCTTGATCTTCTCATTCTCCTTGGACCGCCAATTCAAGAAGGCATTGAGTCTAAGGAAGAGCTGCATTCGGACAGAAACGATTTACTAAGGGCAAAGCATGAAAATAAGCTAAGTATTAATGCTTAGACAAAGTGCAATTACCTCGGCGCTGCAGTTAATCATGGGGCCGAGGAAGCCCTCATCAATCCCGCGGAACTTATCCCGCTGCTCCTTAGGGACGGCCTTGTGCATGGCCTCCCTGATGGCCTTCCGGTTGGCGCCGGTAAGCGACTAGTTGGGTAGCTTCATATATATTTCTTCGGCAATGTCTGTACTAACCATTAAGAAAGTTAGATTATTAAAATCAAAACACAAGTGCTAAACATGCAAGTGCCATATATACCTTCCGAAAAGGGTGGAGGAGATGGTATACGAAACTCGGCCGAGTAGTGGCAGGGGTTGTTCCTCAACTCCTTGGGGATGGCTTCGTTGCTCCTTAGCCGGCTCAGAGGCATCCTTCTGCCACTCAGACTTAGAAATGACCTTGACATGCGGAGTCGAGGCAATGTTGTCGGTCATTTTGGATGGGGACGACACTCCCCCTTTCGCCCATACGGACAGTCTCAGCATGGACCGCTTCAGCTTGCAGAGACCGCTTCATCTTGCGGATCCACGGACTTGGAAACCTCACT